TTGTACCCGTAACAAGCGTTCATTGATTTCTAGGATATCTTTTATAGATTATATTAGCAGAATAACAAACTCCAATCGGAGACACTATTCATGTTCCATACTCCATATTCATTGCTTATAAAGATAAAGAAAGCATTGATGATTAAAAAACGTGAACTAACACAGCACATCATGCATAACACATAACTATTAACTGTATTAATAGAGTATTTACACTATATACATAACTATTACCTGTATTAATAGAGTATATGTTTCTTGTTTTTCGTTAGTTAAATTTAATTTGGATGATAACTAAATAAAAATAACTGCTCTGTGCACCCACTGTACCAGTAAGGATATCTTTTATAGATTATATTAGCAGAATAATAAACTCCAATCGGAGACATTATTCATGTTCCATACTCCATAATCATTACTTATAAAGATAAAGAAAGCATTGATGATTAAAAAATGTGAACTTACATAGCACATAATGTATAACACATAACTATAAACTGTAGTAATAGAGTATTTACACTATATACATAACTACTACCTGTATTAATAGAGTATATGTTTCTTGTTTTTCGTTAGTTAAATTTAATTTGAATGATAACTAAATAAAAATAACTGCTCTGTGCACCCACTGTACCAGTAAGGATATCTTTTATAGATTATATTAGCAGAATAATAAACTCCAATCGGAGACATTATTCATGTTCCATACTCCATATTCATTACTTATAAAGATAAAGAAAGCATTGATGATTAAAAAACCGTGAACTAACACAGCACATCATGCATAACACATAACTATTAACTGTATTAATAGAGTATTTACACTATATACATAACTACTACCTGTATTAATAGAGTATATGTTTCTCTTTTTCCGTTAGTTAAATTTAATTTGGATGATTACTAAATAAAAATAACTGCTCTGTGCACCCACTGTACTCGTAAGATGCGATCATTGATTTCTAGGATCTCTTTTATAGATTATATTAGCAGAATAATAATTTCCAATCGGAGACATTATTCATGTTCTATACTCCATATTCATTACTTATAAAGATAAAGAAACCATTGAAGATTAAAGCGCGAACTAACACAGCACATCATGCATAACACATAACTATTAACTGTGCACCCACTGTACCCGTAAGATGCGGTCATTGATGTCTAGGATATCTTTTATAGATTATATTAGCAGAATAATAAACTCCAATCGGAGACATTATTCATGTTCCATACTCCATATTCATTACTTGTAAAGATGAAGAAAGCATTGATGATTAAAAAACGTAAACTTACACAGCACATTATGTATAACACGTAACTATTAACTGTATTAATAGAATATTTGCACTATATACATAACTATTAACTGTAGTAATAGAGTATTTGCACTATATACATAGCTATTAACTGTATTAATAGAGTATACGTTTCTTGTTCTTCGTTAGTTAAATTTAATTTAGATGATAATTAAATATTTTTAAGTGCTATTACTGTGTACCCACTGTACCAGTAAGATGAGACCAACGATTATATTAGCACAATAACAAACTCCAATCGGAGACATTATTCATGTTCCATACTCCATATTCATTACTTGTAAAGATAAAGAAAGCATTGATGATTAAAAAACGTAAACTTACACAGCACATTATGTATAACACGTAACTATTAACTGTATTAATAGAATATTTGCACTATATACATAACTATTAACTGTAGTAATAGAGTATTTGCACTATATACATAACTATTAACTGTATTAATAGAGTATATGTTTCTTGTTCTTCGTTAGTTAAATTTAATTTGGAAGATAACTAAATAAAAATAACTGTTCTGTTCAGCCACTGTACCAGTAAGGATATCTTTTATAGATTATATTAGCAGAATAATAAACTCCAATCGGAGGCCTTATTCATGTTCCATACTCCATATTCATTACTTATAAAGATAAAGAAAGCATTGAAGATTAAAGCGCGAACTAACTAGCACATCATGCATAACTCATAACTATTAACTGTATTAATAGAGTATTTGCACTATATACATAACTATTAACTGTAGTAATAGAGTATTTGCACTATATACATAACTATTAACTGTATTAATAGAGTATTTGCACTATATACATAGCTATTAACTGTATTAATAGAGTATACGTTTCTTGTTCTTCGTTAGTTAAATTTAATTTAGATGATAATTAAATATTTTTAAGTGCTATTACTGTGTACCCACTGTACCAGTAAGATGAGACCAACGATTATATTAGCAGAATAATAAACTCCAATCGGAGGCCTTATTCATGTTCCATACTCCATATTCATTACTTATAAAGATAAAGAAACCATTGAAGATTAAAGCGCGAACTAACACAGCACATCATGCATAACACATAACTATTAACTGTGCACCCACTGCACCCGTAAGATGCGGTCATTGATGTCTAGGATATCTTTTATAGATTATATTAGCAGAATAATAAACTCCAATCGGAGACATTATTCATTTTCCATACTCCATATTCATTACTTATAAAGATGAAGAAAGCATTGATGATTAAAAAACGTAAACTTACACAGCACATTATGTATAACACATAACTATTAACTGTATTAATAGAATATTTGCACTATATACATAACTATTAACTGTATTAATAGAGTATTTGCACTATATACATAACTATTAACTGTATTAATAGAGTATATGTTCTCTTTTCCCGTTAGTTAAATGTAATTTGGATGAATTACTAAATAAAAAATAACTGCTCCTGTGCAAGCCCACGTACTCGTAAGAAGCCGATCATGATTTCTAGGATCGCATTTTATAGATTATATTAGCAGATATAATTTCCAATCGGAGACATTATTCAGAGTTCTAGGTATCGCTCCAGTAGTGCATGTTAACGTATAAAAGATAAGAAGGCAATGTGAAGATTAAAAAACGTGAACTAAACCTACAGCATCATCATGCATAAACACATAACTATTAACTTATAATAGAGGTATTGCAAATATACATAACTATTACCCTGTATTAATAGGAGTATATGTTTCTTGTTTTCGTTAGTTTAAATTTATTGGATGATAACTAAATAAAAATAACTGCTCTGTGCACCCACTGTACCAGTAAGGATAAATTCTTATAGAATTATATTAGCAGAGAAATAAAGCTTCAATCCGGAGGACATTATTCATGATCCTCTCCAATCATTAACTTAAAAAGATAAAGGAAAGCATTGAAGATTAAAGCCGAAACAACACAAACACATCAATGCATAACACATAACTATTACCTGTGCACCCACTGTACTCGTAAGATGCGATCATTGATTTCTAGGATCTCTTTTATAGATTATATTAGCAGAATAATAATTTCCAATCGGAGACATTATTCATGTTCTATACTCCATATTCATTACTTATAAAGATAAAGAAGGCATTGAAGATTAAAAAACGTGAACTAACACAGCATATCATGCATAACACATAACTATTAACTGTAGTAATAGAGTATTTGCACAATATATATAACTATTACCTGTATTAATAGAGTATATGTTTCTTGTTTTTCGTTAGTTAAATTTAATTTGGATGATAACTAAATAAAAATAACTGCTCTGTGCACCCACTGTACCAGTAAGGATATCTTTTATAGATTATATTAGCAGAATAATAAACTTCAATCGGAGACATTATTCATGATCCATACTCCATATTCATTACTTAAAAAGATAAAGAAAGCATTGAAGATTAAAGCGCGAACTAACACAACACATCATGCATAACACATAACTATTACCTGTGCACCCACTGTACCCGTAAGATGCGGTCATTGATGTCTAGGATATCTTTTATAGATTATATTAGCAGAATAATAAACTCCAATCGGAGACATTATTCTTGTTCCATACTCCATATTCGTTACTTGTAAAAATAAAGAAAGCATTGATGATTAAAAAACGTGAACTAACACAGCATATCATGCATAACACATAACTATTAACTGTAGTAATAGAGTATTTGCAAAATATACATAACTATTACCTGTATTAATAGAGTATATGTTTCTTGTTTTTCGTTAGTTAAATTTAATTTGGATGATAACTAAATAAAAATAACTGCTCTGTGCACCCACTGTACCAGTAAGGATATCTTTTATAGATTATATTAGCAGAATAATAAACTCCAATCGGAGACATTATTCATG